CCAAATAAGCCAAATGTAAAATTGAATTATCCCGGTACGTCACTAGTGCATACGAGTTGAGAACGCCAGCATCATGAAGCATATAGCCAGCACCACAGAATACTTTACTCCTAGCGGAGAAAACATGTTTAAATTATGCAAAATTCTTACAATATTCACACAGAAAATAACTACAATAATATGTAATCAATTTAAATAAAATATAAAATATGTCGACAATTTGAATTTTGTTTTAATAGAAAAATTGGCCTTTACATCTAAAGATGATTTATACAGCGTCAATAATTTTACAACAGCTATTCTAGACGCTGTAGTGCCTGGGACATCACGAATCCAAACTAATAAGTTTGGATTGCAAGTATAGTAAATCTTAATTTATGTTTACAAATTAATTTCTCCATAAAAAAAGATACGGAAAAAAAAAACATAACTAAACTATACAAAAATGTTTTAAATTCAAATAAGTTGGCATATTGGAATTACAGTTTACGGCGTAATTTAATATGTTATAAAACAATGTTTAAATTATGCAAACTTCTTGCAATTTTCACATAGAAAATAACTATAATAATATATACTCAATTTAAATATAAAAATGTCGACAATTTGAAACAGAAACAGAAACTTGTTTATTCAATATAGATTATATATAATACTTATTGAAAATCACTCTTTTGTTTAATTACCACTGGTTCGAAAAAAAACCTCTGTCCTGGGAAGAACCAGCAAGAAACCCAGCGGGTTTTTTTAAATAGCTTACAATCATGTATGTTACACAATTAACAACACAACAAATTAGAAATAGCTTGGTAGCGATCACCTCATTCCCAGGGGTTATTATCATCCATAAATTCCTTAACTTTATAATAACCCTTTTTATACAAACTTAGTTTAATAAAGTTTTTGAACTTTGAGCAAGTCAAATTTTGTATATTTTCTGGAATTTTTTTGTAAAAGCGTATAATTCGCCCCAAGAATGAATTACTGACTCGGTGGAGTAGAGTAACTGGTACTATTAGCTTGTGTCTGTTCCTAGTATTTACAGAATGAATATCACTTATGTTTGTAAAACTACTTTTATTTTTGTGTACGTACATTACATTTTCATAAATGTATTGAAAGGCCAAAATTAATATATTAATTTTCTTAAATATTTGTCGCAGCGACTCTTTAGGCTTTAAATTATAAATTGCTCTTATAGCCATCTTCTGTAAAACAAATATAATTTCAGCTGAGTGTCCCCACAGCAAAATACCATACGACATTATGCTATGGAAATAGCTAAAGTAAACTAGTCTAGCTGTTTCAACACTGGTAAGATTTCTAACCTTGTTTACAGCAAATGCTGCAGAACTAAGTCTGCTTGCTAGTTTAGATATATGGGGGCTCCAGAAGCAGCTGAAGCTCATTCTGTAAATTCTCTTTTTTTTAATTAACAAACATATCGAAGACCTTTACATTGGGAAGTTTGAAATGAGAAGATTCTTCAAAACTTTAATATTCATAGGATGCCAGAGAGTTCCACCCCTTCTATAATGGGTTAGCTATGGACTATGAATGGTATAACACATTTTTGTATTCTAATTTAACAAAAAAAACCCAAAAACATTAGCCATTTTTTTCAAAATTAAATAACTCATCGAAAGGAAATTGTAAAGCGTATAAAATTTCAAATAATTTAAAATTAAAAATTTTGTACAGCCGACTTCAATATAAGTTATTTAAGAATAACTTAAAAACTATTGGTCTGACCTTGATCAAATTCATATGGGACCACACGAGAAGTACCAGCTTTCAAATAAAAAAAGAATCATCGAAATCGGTTCACCCAGAAAAAAGTTCTGAGGTAACACACATAAAAAAAAAAAAACGAAAAAAAAGAAAACATACAGTCGAATTGAGTACCGGCTCCTTTTTGGAAGTCGGCAGAAAACTATTAAAGCGCCCACTAATATGCACAAGTCGAACTTTGCCTGAAGGATCTGTTAGTGACGATTTTGTTATTGATGATTTTATGTCATCAATAACAGAATTATTTGATGAAAGTGTTGGAGATCCTTTCTGCAGAAATGCAGACCTGTGTGGCTTTATTTTGAAAAAAAAAAGTAAAAATTCATGTGATAATTATAAAAAACAAACTTCACAACACAAAATGTGGATAATAAATTATATTTATTCAGCACTTTGGAATACAATGATTATAAAAGGGCTTTAAAGCCCACATGCGTTTAATGCAATACATGACATACGTCTGAAATCTTAAAAATTGAGACCCACACACTGCATGAAGAAAATTGTGAAATAAATGTAAAAAATCTGTTAGGTTTTCTTAACTGGTTGTCACAAGCCGAAAATATTGAATTTATTGTTTAATAACAGCTTATTTCATATCTGTATAAAATGATTTATTAAAAATAAAGAATTAACATGTTTTACATAGCTTACACATGTTTAATAATTGTCATTTTTCTTTTCAAGGAAGCAGCTGAAGCTGCTTCTATAAATTCTCTATTTTTAATTAAAGACAAGCGTTTCATACAGATATGAAATACGCTGTTCACAATAAATTCAATATTTTCTGCTTTGTGACAATCAGGTAAGAAAGAAAAACTGACAGATTTTTTACATTTATCCTTGACAATTTTCTTAACACCGAGTGTGTGGTTCTCAGTTTTTAAGATTTCGTTAGACGTTTTTGCACAAGCTGCCACACACTCGACAAATTTTTGAGACGCATATTTTAAAGCCCTTTTATAATCATTGTATTCTTTATAAGTGCTGAATAAATATAATTTATTATCAACATTTTGTGTTGTGAAGGTTTTATTGCAATTTTCACACGAAATTTTGCTTTTTTTTAAAATATAGCCACACACATAAGCACAGGCCTGCATTTCTGCAGAGGGCTCTCCAACACTGCCATCAAATGATTCTGCTATTGATGACATAAAATCTTCAATAGCAGAATCATCACTTAGAGAGCTTTCAGGCAAAGTTGAACCTGTGCATATTTGTGAGCGATTTAATAGTTTTTTAAAATTTTCTACAATTGCTTTATTGTCATCTTCTTCACAATTTCCTTTCGTTGAGCTATTTAATTTTGAAAAAATGGTACTTTTCAAGGCAGCCACAAATTGGCGCACTGTTGGGTTAACATTAGAACCGCAGTTCGCTCTTATAGCCCCAAATAAATTTTCTAGGGGGTCTTGTTGAAGAGCCCTGGTTGAAATAGAACGAATGTCTTTGTGTTTTTTGTTAAATTGGCATATAAATGTTTTACACCATTCATAGTCCATAACCAACCCATTATAGAAGGTGGTGCTCTCTGGCATCCTATTAATATTAAAGTTTTGAAGAATCTTCTCATTTCATTGAAAAATTCCCAATGTGGAGATGTCTTCGATATGTTTGTGGCATGTGGTTTACCATTTTTTAAATTAGACGTACTGCTATTGAGTAGGTCAAACAATTTGTCCATTTTTGAAACTAACTCAGCCGTTGCAACAGCTTCAGTAGTGAGAACCCCTGAAAAAAGAAAACACCACTACATAAATACTTGAAGAAATAAGGTAAACAATAATAATTATTGATAGCAGACAAGATATAAATACTGTACCGTCAGATATTTTTGAATATAAGCCTGCAGCAACTGAGTGGCTAAACACCTGTGCAGCCAAATTTACGCGCATCTTTTGTTTTGCGTTTGGGTTTAGATGCTCCCTGTGGAGCTTAGGTGCGAAAACGAAAATTTCATTTTTATGATCTAATTCATAAAATTCTTGAATGTGACTCCATTTAGCTATACCTGAAAAGAAATACAAGTTAAAAACATTTCAAATTATTTAATTCATAATGTACATACAAACTGTAAGAATTTATTAGTACCTTGCCCTTTTGATTCATTTGATGTGATATTTGTAGAAAATTTAATATTATACTTTAAAAATATATTTCTGAAACATTTTAATAAATGTGGCGCATCAAAGAGCGCAACCACCTCCGTCCCATTTATACTGAAGAATGGGGATTCTTCAGTGGCTCCCAATAAGGTCAAAGCTCTTCTATTGACACCGTCCATGTCACATACTGTTGCAGCTATATTCAGTCCTATTTTGAGACATGCTTCAATTACCTGTAAAGTAAATAATTTTGCTTCTACATACATATTTTGTTTTAATGTATTTCAAAGTTTAATATTTTCTTAATGTAATAATACGTAAAGTTTTAAGTCAATCTAAGTATACTAAATAATATTATAAAGAAGTGTTTGTAAGTTGGAATGGATGTTTGTACCGGGCAATCTCCCGAACTAATAGCCCAATTTCATTAAAACTTGGTTAGCATTAAATAAATAACCAATTTTTTATTCCCCGAAATTGGGATTTATACGGGTGGAACCACGGTACACTGCTAGTGTCATAATATAAAGAAATAATTTCTTTAGGTACATACCTCTTTTATTATGGCTTTCAGTCTATCCGCAGTAACATAGGAGCTGGATAAATAATAGGCAATGGGCTGTTTTGTTTGTTCTCTGATTGACTTCACCATGAACACAAGCGCATGTGTAGCTACCTGGTTTGTTCGACCATGGACACCATGGTCTTGGTAGCCTTCCACCATATCTTCTTTATTATTATATTGAAGATGTTTTCTAATAGACATTTCATCAAATATCAATATATATTCATTATTTGAGGGCAGTTGTTTTTTTACCTTTTCTCTTAGGCTATTAAAGATATTATCATTGATACCCACATTTAATGAAAATAACCTCAATAAATTATTTAATGTGCTAGGTGATGGAAGGCACCACATCCTTCTTAATAATCGGTAGCACGTTGGGGACCTTTTAAATAACCTCAATGCGATTACTTTTTCGTCAAATGTCCACCTTCTGCCTTTAAATTTCTTTTTATCATTTTTCAATTGAGCCTGTAGCATCAGCGCAAAAGACGGCGTCAGCCTCTGCATTAGTTTTGCTACAGACTTATTTTTTTCTAAAATGTTGAGGGCATCTCCTTTTCTCATCTTCTGAATTGTTCTTTTTAGTTGACAAATTTTTTTCACTTGTCTTCTGCATTTGTTGTATAAATAATTTTCTCTGTCAGTTTTTTTAAAAGTTTGTTTCTGTATTTCTTTACAGACAATCATCTGAAACAAAAGCATTAACAATTAATTACTAATTTGTGCCTTTGAGTGAGTGAGTGAGTGTGGAGGTACCTACTTATTATGGATAATTTTATTAATTAGATATTTTAATTGCTCTTTTTAGATATAATCTAGACCCCATTTTCTCATAGTAATCATACTCTCCTTAACTGACGGGTCTGGTTGACACTTGACATTTTGGGCTAGAGCTTGAGCGTGCAAAATATTTTATAGGTATATGTGTTGGATTAGCAGAAGCTTACGTCATATTAGCTATCTGTGGGGCAAATTTCAGCCTAAACCCCATCCATTGGTTTGAGCTGTGCGTGTTGATAGGTCAATCAGTCCAGTCAGTAACATTTTCTTTCTAAATATATAATAGATATAAATGTAGAAAAGGTAGGTACTTACTTTGTGGTGCTGTGTATAAGAATTTGTAATGTTCTTAAGAACATTGCAAAAAGATGGACCTGGTTGACACTCGAGATCTTGAGCTGCAGCTTGATTCTGCAAAATAATAAGTCATTTATTTTCCAGACTAAGTGTAGCGCTAGTGCTACATATATAATCTGTTTGGTGGACTATTACAAGATATTATTATTATTATTTTTATAATACTTTGAGGTCTACATTCAAACGGCTAGTTTATATGAAACATTAAAAAGGATATTAAGTGGTTTTAAAACTATAATGAAGAATAGGATTTAAAACTTTTTTAGCATTTTTATAAGGGTTTCTTTTTTCGTCTTGAGGCTAGTTGAGGCACAGAACCCTAAAAATGCTAAGAACGGTATTTTTGGCTAGTACCATAGAAGTGCACCTGCTACTTCAAAATTAGGTACATTGCGAGTAGTAGAAATTGCAACTGTACCACTTCAGTGGAATAATAGCAAAAAGTAGCCAAGGATTATTATTTAATGTTTTATTGGTAGTATACTTACTTTGTGATATTGCATTTCAGTAGTCGTAATATTCTCAACAAGGGAAGGACCTGGTTGAGACTTGAGATCTAGAGATGAACTTGATCCCAGATATTCTTGCAATGCTAGAGTTTGATCCTGAAAAATAACATTATCAATTATTATTAAGAAAAAGTTAGGGACAAAAGTAAGAGTGCTACAACAATACCTAACATTTTTATTGAATTTGAATTACATAAATAAAAAAGAATGCCTACATTGAAATATATAAAATATTAGCAATCTGCCTCTGCTTCGCAAGGGCGATTTCTAGATATCGACAAAAGCACCACCTACCGGGTTCAAATGTGAACCTAAACCATCTAGAAACCCATTCAAACACAAAAAAAATTATCACAATAGGTTGAGCCGTTTTTGAGTTTTAGCAAGACCAATGGACAGCAATCAATTTGCATTTGGTACATTGCGAGTAGTAGAAATTGCAACTGTACCACTTCAGTGGAATAATAGCAAAAAGTAGCCAAGGATTATTATTTAAATTTTTATTGGTAGTATACTTACTTTGTGATATTGCATTTCAGTAGTCGTAATATTCTCAACAAGGGAAGGACCTGATTGAGACTTGAGATCTAGAGATGAACTTGATCCCAGATATTCTTGCAATGCTAGAGTTTGATCCTGAAAAATAACATTATCAATTATTATTTAGACAAAGTTAGGGACAAAAGTAAGAGTGCTACAACAATACCTAACATTTTTATTGAATTTGAATTACATAAATAAAAAAGAATGCCTACATTGAAAAATATAAAATATTAGCAATCTGCCTCTGCTTCACAAGGGCGATTTCTAGATATCGACAAAAGCACCACCTACCGGGTTCAAATGTGAACCCTAAACCATCTAGAGACCCATTCAAACACAAAAAAATTATCACAATAGGTTGAGCCGTTTTTGAGTTTTAGCAAGACTAATGGACAGCAATCAATTTTTATATAGGTATAGAAGATTGGATTTTTCTTGTAAGTATAAAATTTGGATTAAGTTTGTGATTCTTAGCAACCTGTTTTATATGAAATGTTTTTGTTTTTATTGAAAATAGCCTAGTAAGAAGCAGAAGAGTAACATATTATTATTATGTGATTTACCTCAACGCACAGCACCTTATTTTCAGAATATAGCCTTTCTTGAAATTGCAGAGATGACCAAGGGGAATTAGGGAAGCAATATCTCGCCCATGATTCACAGCTGAAACACAACATAGTGCATTCTTACCTATGTATTTAAATTTGATTATACTATGCATTCATAGTGTAATGTCGTATTGAATATTGATATGGGTTAATGCAACTGACATTGATGCCATATTTGTTTTGCAAAAGAGATCCGTATGGGCGATTTATAACTTAAATTATAAAGAGTCCCTTAGAGAAAATTTTAAAGAAAACTTTGGCATCGCAATATATTTATTAAAATGTAATGTATGTATATAAAAACAAATAGCAGGATTCTATGTGTAATGTGGGGGCCGCAGTAGTTGTACAACAAAAACACTATTAATGTAGAAGTTAAAGTAACTTGATACCTAATATGTATATGAAAAGTACAAACAAACTTACCGAATAGCATTTTTAGGCCCAGGTTTAGGAAACCGAGACAGTTTAATGCCTGGCACTTGTTTGGAAGATCGCCCACATTTTGCACATTTTCTCTAAATGTTGGGTGCCATAGTGAAATAGGTAAGAAGGTGGCTATCTAATTAAGTTCACAATTTTACACAAACTATGAAAAGAGTCCGTATCTCACTTGAGTTTATCAACTTGTCACCAACAACACTGCTCTGGTTCGACCGACACTAATGCGGAGGGGCGAAATTCACTCAACTCAACGCAATAATGGAGAAACAGAAGTGTAATAAAGTAACAAATTAAAGGAAAAACAAAAACAACATCAATCAACAAATCGTCACAAATCGTTGAAATTTGAAGTGAATGAAAACGTGCACGCTTGTTTTTTTAATTTTTAAGTGCTGCCATTTTATAAATTAAATATTCTTCTATAAACATAACACATCTTCACCACTTAGTTGCCGATATTCTACGCATTATTATTTGCTTCGTCTTTTGTAATGCAAAGGAGTGGAATAATTTGCCAGCGTTTATCTTTCCGTCCGAATACAATCTGGGTGCCTTCAAGGCAAGAGTGAAAAGGCTTTTGTTACGCTAAGACAGTGCGATTTACCATCTAGGGCTACATCACCACTTACCACCAGATGGGATCGTGGTGAAGCACTGGTTTATAATAAGTTAAAAAAAAGATCTGTTGCTGATGCTTTAATCAAGTTTATTTACTGATCAAACGTAATCAATATTTTTCTTTATACCAGTTTGTACAACTACCAGTTTGTAAAGCGCAGTCTATAGGACGATTTTTTGGAAAACTCAGATAATTCCCAAATTAACAAAATCGAAAGAAAATCCAGAATAACAAATTAAAAAAAGCAACATAGTATTTTAAAATCAATAGATAGATACAAAATCAATTGGTGAATACTCTCATTTTAGAGGTTTTCAAATAACTTGGCAATTTTGTGGTAGAAATCTGGTAAAACAAATGACCCACAAAATAATTTTGTTACCGCGCCATCTACGCGGTTTACTAAGTACTACATCGATCTGCGAAGCCGACGTAGTTCTTAGCGAATTTAGTCGATGACGCTACTGTTTATTAATGCCGCATAGGTCCCATACATAAGTTGACAAGGCCTGGCCAGCACCGTGATTTATCGTGCGGCTAATGTCAAGGACAGTGGCGTTTCAATAAATTGTCAATTACTGTGGCGCCGTCACCGTGATAACACGCGTGTACTATACCGTAGTCATCATATATCACATCGTATATCATAGTCACGCGCCGCTCGCGCATCTACCCGGTCGCGCTGTCTGTTGTGTGTGTTTTGTATGTGAAGGACTTAAAATGTCCTCAAAAGTGTTAAAATGTTCGAGCTGCAACATTGTAATAAACGAGACTCTAGCTTTTATCGATAACAAGAAAGATGTTATGGATGACGAAAGTCTTATAAACATATGTGTGAGTGTTTTCTCAGACAGTGATATTGAAACGGCAAAGGACTTGTTGTTTGGTTCGGTCCCGGAAAAGATGCGCAAAATAGTTCGGAGAAAAGATAATCGAAAAAAGGACGGCAAGGCTCGGAAAGATCTGGACGATATTATCTGTCTGCTACGGGGTACACATTCCGAAGACATTCCCGTGTTTACTGCTAGGGCTCTTGAAAAACTCCCTCCCGTCTTATGGGACCATGTAGATGTGACGAGAATTCTAAAAGACATAGTCAAAATGCAACGAGATATTAGCATGATTATGAAGGACTGTGCGAAGCAGGAGGACCTAGACCAGCTAAAGTCTGAGGTTGATATCCTTAAGGATACATCGGTGGTAAATAACTACGGACGCAACATTAACTTGCGTCGTGGAGGTTTCTTACGAAATAGTTTCGAGTGCCAAAGTGGTCCTATGGGATTGCCTCCCTTACCTGTCGAAGGGAATAATGATGTAAACGATACCTCATTACGAGAATCAACATATCGGGACGTAGAAATTAAATTAAATTCATTAGAAGGTAATCGCATTGCGCCGCTACCCGACAATAGTAAGTTGCGTGAATTACCCGAGACGGCGGTTATGATGACTCACCCGGCGCAGGCTGAGCAGAGCCAGCCGCCGCCATCGATGCCTACAGCTGAGAGCGTAAACACCGAGACCTGTGCCGACGCAAGCGCGGGACATACGGCCGTCGTGAGCATACAAACGAGCGACCCAATATCAGTGCCGGTGAATAAAAGCGTAAACGCTGATAATACAGCAACGAATTTACTCGATATACGTAGTAAAGGGCATGCAAAGTCTATGTCAGAAATTGTTTGCGAAGGCAATTGGAGATCAGAAGTACATAGTGATGAGTGGACACAAGTTCAAAAGAAAAGGTTGCGGAATCGGTTTTCTGGATACAGAGGGAAGGCTATTTCGGAGCCTGGAGATAATTTCAGAGCGGCAGAGATTAAAGTCCCGGTATACATTTATAATGTGGCGAAGGGAGTGTCTGTGAGTGATATAACCGATTACGTAAAGAAAAAGAGTAAACTTGACGTCAACGTAGAACAGATGAAAATGAAGACAATAAAAGATTACGAGTCGTACAAAATATTTGTACCTAAACATAAATTGATGTATTTATGTCAGAAACCTTTTGGCCAGAAGGAGTAGCCTATAGGCGTTTTATTGACTTCAAATACCGTGAAAAGGGAAGTGCCGTCAAGGCTGGGGTGAAAAATCAACTTTCAAAATAGGTTACAACAAACTAGTCAGTTTTAATTGTAAGAACGTAGTTCGATCAGTGGAGTGTGTGCGACGGCTATGTAGCTCAGCGGACGTGGTCGCCCTACAAGAGACCTGGCTGCTGTCACATGACCTCGCGTTCCTGGGAACCATCGACAGTGACTTCGCCTTTACGGGCACCTCAGCCGTCGATACTGCAGCTGGTGTGTTACGCGGGCGACCTTATGGAGGTGTGGCCCTTCTCTGGAGAAAAGCTGTGTTTCCTTATGTAACCATAGTGAAGTGTAGAAGTGTCAGGCTTGCGGCGATTAAAATCGAGCTAAGTGACCGTTGTCTTATAGTTTTTTCAGTGTATATGCCGATAGATAAAAAAGAAAATCTAGTGGAATTCACAGAGTGTCTTAGTGAGATGGCGGCTATTATTGAAAGTCATAATGTGGAAACTGTGTTTATGTTAGGGGACTACAACGCGCACCCTGGTGAGTCTTTTGACACAGAACTATTGTCGTTTTGCACTGAACAGTTATGGACGTGTGTAGACAGAGACTTGTTACCATCGGATGCCTATACTTTTGTGAGCGACGCACACGGTAGTTTAAGATGGCTGGACCATGTTGTGGTCACGACCGAGGCGAGGCCCACTGTACTTTCTGCATGTGTTCTTTACGACACGTACTGGTCCGATCACTTACCTGTATTGATAGAGTGTAATTTCAATGCTGTAATACCAAAATTACCGCAGTCAAATAACTGTATTAATAAAATCATATGGGGAGAGCGTGATAATGATCAAATTGATGAATATTATAATGAATGTAACTCCAGGTTAAAATTAATAGATTTTACAGCAGAATTTTCGGAATGTTGCGATAATATGTGTAGTAACCATCAACACAAAATAATGCTTGACAGATTGTATGAACGAATTATGTGTATACTTTCAGAGGCCGCTGTCTGTAGCTATAGTGTTAGGACAGGGCGAAAAGGTAAATACTTACCTGGTTGGAACAAACATGTTCGCGAGGCGCATGGGAGGGCTCGACTTTGTTTTCAAAGTTGGTCACTACATGGCAGACCCGGCTCTGGTCACGTATATAATGAAATGTGTGAATCAAGACGCATTTTTAAAGCAAAATTAAAATGGTGCCAAAATAATCAGACACAAATAAAAATGGACATAATAGCTGAACACCACAAAAGAAAGAACTTCGGTCAGTTTTGGAAAGCCACCAATAAAATGAATCATAAGTCGAGCCTTCCCGTGAGTGTTTCAGGAGCTTATGATCATAGTGATATTGCTAATGTTTTCAAAGAATATTTTAGAGTGGAATCACCACTGGGACCGGCAGAGCCGCCGATGTCTGATGCTGGAGCAGGTAGTCCTAAGCGTAGTGTATTTTTTAGCGCTAGAGATGTAGCTAAAGTCATTAAGTGCATGGTGAGAGGCAAGTCGCCTGGGCATGACCATCTCAGCATCGAACACCTGCAGCATGCTGGAGTTCATTTGCCAAGGGTTTTGTCTTTGTTATTTCATTTGTGTATTGGGCATTCATATCTCCCTGACAAATTGATGCGAACTATTGTTATTCCTATACCAAAAAACAGGACCGGTGACGCCTCTGATGTGTCCAACTATAGGCCCATCTCCCTTGCTTCTGTAATTGCTAAGGTACTGGACAGTTTGCTTAACGGGTGTCTGGATAAGCACATTTTGCTTAATGATGCTCAATTCGGCTTTAGATCAGGTCTTTCCACCGAGAGTGCTATCCTGTGTCTCAAGCAGACTGTCCGGTATTACACAGCAAGGAAGACACCTGTGTTTGTATGTTATCTGGATTTATCAAAGGCGTTTGACCTAGTAGCTTACGAAAGCCTGTGGGACAAGATGAGATCTGAGACTAGCCTGCCCAAAGAAGTTATATTGCTCTTTCAGCACTGGTATAGCAACCAAAAGAACAATGTCAGATGGGCAGGCTCGCTCTCAGAAGAATACAGATTGGAATGTGGCGTGAGGCAGGGTGGTCTAAGCTCTCCAACGCTCTTTAACTTATATATGAATAGGCTCCTTGATGAGCTCAGCAGTACCGGTATCGGTTGCCACATAGACGGAGTTTGTGTTAATAACATAAGTTATGCAGATGATATGGTGCTGCTGAGTCCATCAAGTGCAGCCTTAAAGAAATTGTTAACCATATGCGAGTCTTACGCTGTGGCCCAGGGGCTCAAATACAATGCTGTCAAGAGCGAATTCATGGTTTTCAATCCGGACCACAAGCGATACACTAATGTGCCACTTTTCAAGCTCTGTGGAACCCCCTTGAAAAAAGTTGAGGCCTTTAAGTACCTGGGTCACTGGATCACAGAAGACCTAAAGGACAACCTAGATATTGAGAGGGAGCGGAGGTCATTGTCTGTCCGTTGTAATATGTTGGCCCGCAGATTTGCTAAATGTACAGACGAAGCAAAGATTACGCTTTTCAAAGCCTACTGTCAGTCATTTTATACGTGCAGTCTGTGGGTTAGCTTTACGCAGAGGACATACAATGATCTTCGCGTACAATATAATAACGCGTTCCGGGTATTGATGGGGCTGCCGCGTTTCTGTAGCGCTTCTGCTATGTTTGCGGATGCTCATGTAGATGGTTTCGCCGCCATAATGCGTAAACGTTGCGCTTCACATCTCAGGCGCGTTCGCGACAGCCCCAACAGTATCTTGCGCGCGTTGGCAGACCGTTGGGACTCGCCGATGTTTGCTCGATGGATACGGCTGCACGCAGTCAAGTAGTCATCTTGCTGGCAGCGGCGGGTGCCATGTTTATTTGTATGTGTGTCTTGACTGTTTGTCTGTGTCTGTGTTTTATGTTGAATTGTTAAATTACTAACATTAGTTATAAGCTCAATTGTTACTAACCCATATGGATCATGATGTCCGAAATAAATGTTTATTATATTATTATTATTATTATTATACCTATTTGCATTTTTAGTGCTGGAAATTATCGATAGTGCTAGACGAAGAAGAACTGTTAAATATTTTAGAATCGCATAATGATAATCACAGTTTCATCTACAGACAGTGATATTAAATCGGTAAGTAAATATTCATGTAAAATAAATAAGTAGTCAGGTATTTGAGAATTTTACACTACATTTATATTTGCTTAATTTATACATTTTACAGGAACATAAATAATCTTCTAGTATATGGAGTAGCATCATCATGTCAAAAAGTAATGAATCGCCGCCGTTATCGCCATCTATTCGACCGAAAAAGAAAATAAAAAGAAAAATTTCCAAAAATGGTAGATCAACGCAGACCGAAAATCATTACATATGCTATGTGAAATCGTAAAAAGATGACTACACAGCTTATATAAGTTTGCCCGCTTCAAGATTCTTTAATCAAAGATCAGAAGATCCTCGAAATGAGCATTTTGGTACATTAATTGCATTTGAAATGGAGTCAGTCCCATACGAGATTCGATCGCAAGTGTATATGGACATAATAAATTTGATATATAACGCTCGGAACGAGCTACATATATTAGATCAAGGTCCACGCCCATCTCCTGAATATTGATTAGTTTTATGAAGAGAATTAACGCTGATTAAGTGCAATGTGATTAATGAAAATTAAGATTGATTAAAGCTAGTTATAATACCCAATAAGAAGAATGTTATGTTGATTAAAATAAATAATAATCTATAATTTTAAAACTTTGTTTCATTTATCGATAAATGGTTGTTCCAACACTATGCAAAATATTAAATAAAAGTTCCTGGCGCTGGAGACACTCCACGGCAACTAAAGCGCGGCGGTGAAAGGGTTAATATATACCATTTCCGATAAAACCGGTAACTATAACTGGGCCCCCTAGCTATGAATAGAATAGAATAGAATGATTTTTATTCAATATGGATTACTACATAATACTTATTGAAAGTCATTATTTTATTTACCACTGGTTCGGAAAATACCTCTGTCCTGGGAAGAACCAGCAAGAAACCCAGCGGGACTTTTTTTTTTAAACATAATTTCACTTAACAATAATTTTGATTATACAATTTTAAATGAATTTTCATAGAACCAGCATGGTGGCGATCACCTTATTCCCAGGGGTTATTTTCACTCATGTATTCCTTGATATTATAATAACCCTTTTTGTACAGTTTTTCTTTAATAAAACTTTTAAACTTGTTTATTGACAAACTTTGAACATGTTCTGGGATTCTGTTGTAAAAGCGTATACATTGCCCCATAAATGAATTACTAATTCTGTGGAGTCTTGTAAGTGGCATTACAAGCTTATGTTTGTTCCTAGTGTTTAAGGTATGAACATCCTTATTCTTATTAAAGCTATTTATGTTTTTATGTACATACATTACATTTTCATAAATATATTGCGATGCCAAAGTTAATATGTTTATTTCTTTAAATTTTTCTCTAAGGGACTCTTTACAATTTAGATTATAAATCGCCCGTACGGCTCTCTTTTGCAAAACAAATATAGCTTCAATATCAGTCGCATTACCCCATAGCAAAATTCCATAAGACATTACGCTATGAAAGTAACTAAAATACACTAACCTAGCTGTCTCAACATCTGTGAGACTTCTAATCTTTCTTACAGCATATGCTGCAGAACTAAGTCTGCTTGCTAATTTAGATATATGGGGGCCCCATTGAAGTTTCGCGTCAATAGTAATACCGAGAAAAACAGTGGTATCCACAAGACTCAACTCCTCCCCATTTAAGAGCACATTGGTTTTCGAATGTTTTACATTAGGTATTGTAAATTTAATACATTTTGTCTTATTGCCGTTTAAGAGCAAATTGTTGGCGTTAAACCAATGTACTAGTTTCGATAGAGCATTATTTACATCGTCATATTTAATTGACTGCCGTTTCAGTTTGAAAATTAAAGAGGTATCGTCAGCAAATAATACTATATCGTGATTGTCCCCTACAAGATAAGGTAAGTCATTAATATAGATTAAGAACAGGAATGGGCCAAGAATCGAGCCCTGAGGAACGCCCATTGATACTACCGATCCGGAGGAACATTTACCATTAATGACGACTTTTTGAGTTCTGTTACTTAAATATGAAGTAATAAGTTTAAGCGCCAAATTTTTTACACCGTAATGTTGTAGTTTCCTGATTAATGTATCATGATGAACACAATCGAAAGCCTTGGAAAGGTCAC